AAAAATCCTTAATCAAATACCCCAATGACTCAATTTCTTTACAGAGCTTTTTATCATAACTCAAAAGGAGGTTTTAACCATGCCAACTAAGACAGGCAACAGTCCCTCCATCTTCTAGATTTTATCTACCATATTCATTCAACACTTGACTTCATTTAATTTTCTATATTCACCAAAATCTGCATCCTCAGCCCCTCCATTTAATATTATCTTAGTTTTCTGTTGCACCAACCGCTCTAAATCCAGCTACCTTCAAGTTCAATTCTAACTTTCAAACCTACCGAATACAAAACGAATTTCTACATATATATATATATATGGGGGCGGATCCGTGGCACCATATTTTTGACACAAGTTTTGACACAATTTTTGGGCCATTAGATTACTCCACTTTTAATGGTTGAGATTAAATCTGACATGACAAATAGTTTTAATGTTTTAAATAAACAATCATTAATTTTATTTTCTCTCTCCTAAAAATAAAATAAAATAAATTTCTCTCTCCTCCCTTTTTTTTTTGGAAACGTAATCTCTTTTCTTGATACTATCCTTTTTTACTTGGGACTCTAATCTCTCTTCTTTCTCACGCATACCCCTCTCTCTCTCTCTCTCTCTCTCTTTCCTGCGACCAAAAAAAACCTCCACCTCTTCTTTTTTCCTTGTAGGCTCAATTGCATTGAGAAGCCATGACATGACTAGAGGATTTGTGGAACTCCAGTCAGCTATCTCGGTCTCACTTGTATTGGGGATTAGAGTACTCAGTAAATTATAGACCACTTCAAATCTTCGCCTCTCTTCAGAGCTGTGAAGCAACTAAAACTGGATTCTATTCATAGTTTCCAGAGTTAGCTTCCTGTGAGTTAAAGTTTTATGATTTTGATGTGATTTCAATTATGGGTACTTTCATTTTTGTTATTTATGCTGTTGTTTCATATTGGTTTTTGACGATTTTCATGCTAACTTTATATTTGCAAGGGACTATAAAGATATGCTGACTGAAGGTATGCTTTCTCTCAACACTATGACAGAGGATGGCAACATCGAGGAGGTAAGCTTTTCAACACTTGATAATATCTTAATAGATTATATGAGAGACTTAATATGCTATGCTTCTGGTAGAACTCAAAATTTATTGCTTGCTCCATATATATTGTGTGACTCTTGTTGGCTGGCTTTGCCTCAACCCAATTCATACTGTCATATTATCTTTAATCGATTTTCTATATGCCTATATTGATCTTTCAAGTTCTCAGCTCTTTGATTGAATCAGATGCTTGAATTTGAGATGTCAAAATAGGAAGATAATAATTATATTTTAAAATTAGTATGATAGTCTACTCCATTATATTTAATATTGCATTAACATATGTATTAATGTTTTTCTAAGTTGCATCATTAAGAAAGATTAATATGTTCAATAGGTAGAGCAGATAATTCAAGTGGAGAATGGTGAAAAAAGTACTCCAAAACAGAAAGTGGCACAATTAAAAGTACCATATGTTGGGATGGTATTTGACACAATGGAAGAAGCAAGAAACTATTATGAAGAGTATGGCCGACAAGAGGGATTCTGGATCAGAACTCGATCTTCCTCCAAGACACGAAGGCGTTTAGATGAGGTAACGAGTAGACAATTTGTTTGTGCACATGAAGGGAAATACATGCCCAAAAATACGTCACATAAGGCTTCAGAAGGGAATGATGAGAGAGACGCAAGTGATATTGAGAATATGAAGAGAACGAGTAAAAATTGTTCTACAGTGAAATGTGGATGCAAAGCAAGTATGAGAATTAAGCTTGATAGATGGTCAAACAAATGGAAAGTTTCAAGTTTCCAAGACTCTCACAATCACAAGCCAGTTACACCGGAAAGAAGAATGAAAATGAAGTCAAATAAGGTTATGCCAAAAGTAGCTAAAATTCTGACTGAAACATTTCATGAAGAAAATTTGCCAATTGCAAAAGTTCCTTCAATCCTTGGTGGCCCGCATATTGGTTTTAACAATAGAGATTGTTATAACCACTTGAGAAATGTCCGACATAGACAATTGGATGGAGGTGATGCACAGTCAGTCCTTACTTACTTTAGGAAGAAGCAAGCTGAGAATCCTCAATTTTTTTATGCCATTCAGTGTGATGAAAATGGAAGGGCTTCTAATTTCTTTTGGGTGGATGCTCGATCACGCTTGGCGTACCACTATTTTGGAGATGTAGTCGCATTTGACACAACTTATAGGACAAACAAATATGATATGCCATTTGCACCATTCACAGGAGTAAACCACCATTTGCAATCAATACAATTTGGATGTGCACTTTTACAAGATGAGACAGAGGTGACATTTTTGTGGTTGTTTGAGACATGGCTTGAAGCAATGGGAGGACGTCATCCAGTTTCCATTATTACTGATCAAGACTTGGCAATGAAAGGAGCAATTGCCAAGATTTTTCCTAACACTCATCATCGGTTATGTCTCTGGCATATTAAGAAGAAGTTTGCAGAAAAATTGTCACATGTGTATTTCAAGAAGTCCAAATTCAAAATTCACATGAAGAAATGTATTCGGTCAACATACAAGATAGAGGAATTTGAAGAAAAGTGGAAGGAATTGATGAAAGAATATGCATTGGATAATGATGACTGGTTGAACAGTTTATATGACATACGTTCTTCTTGGGTTCCTGTTTATAATCGTAGCATATTTTTTGCAGGAATGAACACTACTGGACGTAGTGAGGGTATTAATTCTTTTTTTGATGGATTCATTACACCAACAACAAATCTTAGAGAGTTTGTTGTCAAATATGACCAAGCATTGAAGAGAATCATGGATAGAGAAAGTGATGAAGATTTTGAATCAGAACACAAGTATCGCATTGTGAATGAAGGAGAATTCCTTTTGAAACATGCTGCGAAGTTGTATACTAGAAATGTTTTCAACAAGTTCAAGGATGAATGGAGTAAAGTTAATCTCTATAAAGTTGAAGAAATGCCATGTGACAACGAATATCATGCATACCTAGTGAAAACAAAACTTGGAGAGCATGAAGAGTTTGTGGTGAAGTTAAATTTGCAAACATACAAAGGTATGTGTGAATGCCAAAATTTTGAGTTCGTTGGAATACTTTGTCGACATTTATTGAAAGTATTTGTCCGCCTTGATATAGATACACTACCTGACCATTTTATTCTTCCAAGATGGAGACAAGAAGCAAACAAATTTAGGATAATGGATTTTAAAATTTTGGTGACAAATGATGGTAAAGAAGAATCAGAGGCTTTGCGACTTAGCCATATGTGTCATCAAGCAACAAAGTTGGCTTGCATTGCAGCATCTTCAAATGAGGCATACACAACTTTCATGGAAGCTATAAAGGAATTGTCCAAGAAACTGTCAGAAAATTCTACTCAACATGCAACAATTCCTTCCTCAACAACAGGTGATCCATGTAGTACTAATATTGATTCCTCTCAATTGTTGCTTTTGGACCCCAATATCTCACAAACTAAGGGTAGAAAGAAGGATAATATTAGCGGTTCCAAAAGGATAAAAAGTGGAATTGAGTTGGCTCAAAACAAGAAGAAAAGAAAGTGTGCATTATGCAAAAAGATAGCACAACATGACAAAAGAAATTGTCCATCAAATCTGAAAAGAAGAAAGAATGAATCAACAAATCCATGTAAGTTTGTGCACTTTTTATTGTTGCTATTTCTAATAATAAGGTTTAAAAAGCTTATGTTTAACTTGATTATTATGAATCTAAATTCAGGCAATGAAGAGTTAGAAGACTTGTGCCAAGATGTGGAGAGTGATGACCAAGAATATTGTTAATGGTGAGTTTTTTTTAATTTATAGCTTTGATCAATGAAGTATTTCACGGAATAAATTATTTGTTAAATAAGTATGGTTTGAACGAAAACAGAGGTTAAAGTTTTTAACTTGTCCCTTGTATGATTATTTTTTTCTTCCCAGCTCCAGAGTTTCAGTAGATATCAATGTTTCATACTTGAATTCTGCTTACTATGGTGAGGAGGTTGAAGTTGAGGCCAAGGTTTTACGAGTTGGGAAGGCTGTTGGTGTTGCCAGTGTTGAGTTAAGGAAGAAGAAGACATGCAAAATTATAGCTTAGGGCTGTCATACCAAGTATCTTACTCTCACTAGCAAACTCTGAACAGCTTGGAAGTTGAAATTTTCCTTAGACTTGTATGGAATATTAAGAAGCCTTTTTTGCTTAGACTTGTGTAAAATATTGAGAAGCTTTTTGGTGTTGTCTGTATTGAATTTAGGAAGAAGAAAACAGGGGAAACATTGTTGTCAACTGGTGCTTCTCTCTACACTCAATTTCTTATGCTTCTGGCTTCTTAAAAACTTTAGTTGGTGCTTCTTTCATACCCTTGATTGCAGCAACCAAAGAGACTCCGCCAACAAGAAAGGCTGGAAATTTCCTGCAAATGGTGAACACAATAATGATGGATGCTCTGTTACAGGCTTACAGCAAAATAATAACACAAATCTCTTCAAAAGACCTTATAGAATGACTTGCTCTGTGTCAACTGTGCACTCTATTGATGAATATCCCAAAATAGAGTGCTTTTTCAACTCTCTAATTTCCTTCTCCATTTGTAAAAATGTGGCATGCCATGTGTTGGTTTAAATGCATTGGATCCGACACTTTCTTAAGTGTGAACTTTGAACCAACAATTCAGCGTTCCCATTTACAAATTTTGCTCATGGTTATAGTTCGAAGACACATACAAACAATGCTCAATAGCATCTCTCCTCGAACTAATACCAATTTGAAAAAGTTGTCAAAAACCATAAGATTCAATTGCTTAACTTATTGATCGTAACATGATACAATTGATTAATGAAAAAAAAAATCTAAATCAAGAAAATTGAGTTGACTATTTGAGTCATAATTCATCAAAATTGTATTTGTCATCGTAATTCTACCCATTAAATCTGTCATTTGCAACATAATCTTGGCCTTGTCTGGCTCTAACCTCTTTACTGTATCCATTACTGTCATGCTCAAACTCTTCATCATGACTTTTCTTCTCATTTGACTGTTGCATATCACCATGACTGCCACATTTAGACTTTGTGCCTTCTTCAAATACAGGTGCATAACCCTGATTTTACATGCTATTCGATTTGTTTGGCTTTTAGTTGCTTGTAGTCTGTGCATCAGTTAATGAGACCTTAGATGTTGACAGAACATAATATGGGATTTGCACAGCATGAATAAAGCAAGATTGATTCTGAAATAAGAGATATAAAAGATGCTTACAAGCTCTTCATTTAGTTTATCCAAAGCATCATACTTGGTTTTTGAACTCAACCTCTGCAAGAACAAAATGTCACATTAGCAATAGAATTCTCAATCACCAGCAACCAGAAATAGATATTTAAGTATATTATTGAGCATACACACTAAGCTAGCCTTCGAAACAATATTGAAAAATATCAAAATTTACAAGCATACTAGCTGAGAGCCAATAGAAGCTGAAGGAAACTATTAGTCCAATAACTGCAAGCATAAAATTTCTCAGCTTTGACCAGTTGAGTTTAAAAATGAAACATAAACTAATTCATGCCCTTTGCAAATATAAGGTTAGCATGAAAATCATCAAAAACCAATCCAAAACAACAGCATAAATAACAAAAATGAAAGTACCCATAATTGAAATCACATCAAAATCATAAAATTTAACTCACAGGAAGCTAACTCTGAGGGAAACTATGAACAGAATCCAGTGCGAAAAAAAAACTCCATCTTTTTTCCCTCTCTCTCTCTCCGTTAACTGCAAACCAATGTTATGATCCCATGAAAGATGGAGGTTGGATGGTTGGATGACGTTGTTCCCCCTGGCAGCAGCTGAAGAACTTGGAATCCCTGTTGTACTCTTCTTTACTATTTCTGCATGCAGCTTGATGGGCTACATACAATTTCCGGCTTTGGTTGAAAAAGGACTTGCCCCACTCAAATTCCTGGGAAAAAAGATAGAGGTTTTTTTTCTGATCCCAGGAAAGAGAGAGAGAGGTATATACCAAGTATAAAATGATACTACCAAGAAAAGAGATTACGTTTCCAAGAAAAAAGGGAGGAGAGAGAAATTTATTTTATTTTATTTTTATGAGAGAGAAAATAAAATTAATGATTGTTTATTTAAAACATTAAAACTATTTGTCATGTCAGATTTAATCTCAACCATTAAAAGTGGAGTAATCTAATGGCCCAAAAATTGTGTCAAAAATTGTGTCAAAAATATGGTGCCACGGATCCGCCCCCAAAAAAGAAAGAGGAGAGAGAGAAGACTGAAATCGGGGAGAGGAAGAAAGAAGGAAAAAAAAAAATCCAATCTGAAGCGTTGAAATCATCCAACGGTCAAAAACAGAAATCCGTAACCAGTCCGCATCTTCTGACTTCGCAATGGAGAAGTTCCCTATAAAAAAATATACAAAACTGCAAAACAATAAAAAGAAGAAAATAGTACACATTACAATATAATAATTGCATAAAAAAGTAAAAGCATAGAAAGAAGGAATATTCTCTACTCCGGTAGTATTGTAACTAATAAATTGGCATCCAATTTCAGGGTCTGTATATGGAGGCAATTCTGCTGAGCTTGCAAAGAAGGAAGATATTGATGGTTTTCTTGTCGGTGGTACTTCCTTAAAGGTCTACCACAATTATTTGCCTTGAGAGTACTATGTGGTTTAGATCCTTTTTGTTTTCCGTTTGTAATTTTTTTGCAAATGACACTAACAAGTTGAGTTTTCATCACCTAGGGTCCTGAATTCGCTACCATCATCACCTACATACACATTACAATATAATAATTGCATAAAAAAGTAAGCTATCAATGTTTACCAACAATATAATATGTATGTGCAGCTGCTGTCAAAATAGTTCAACCAAATAAAAAAGTTACAGCTGTCACAATAGTTCAACCAAATTATAACCCAAATAGTTCAACCAAAGTGCCAAAATAGTTTAACCAAATTACAATAACAATAGTTCAACCAAATTATAACCCAAATAGTTCAACCAAAGTGCCAAAATAGTTTAACCAAATTACAATAACAATAGTTCAACCAAATTATAACCCAAATAGTTCAACCAAAGTGCCAAAATAGTTTAACCAAATTACAATAACAATAGTTCAATCAAATTATAACTCAACTAGTTCAACCAAAGTAGAAGCAAAATATCACAAACTAAAATATAGTTCAACAAAACCCAAGATGATCAAAATACTAAAATCATCATAACTGGAATTTTATCCAAGATGAGTGCTCTTCCAATGACATCTTCAAGAACAAGTCCTTCTTTGCCTTATTACTAAGCAATTCACATGCCATGTAACGAGTATTGTCATCCAAATTTGGCTCAAATAATGATTATAAGTTTTAGGGAACCTAATTTTCGCATTAAGACGAGGAAGTATCACTCTTTCGACATTTTGCTTGCTAAGTGACCCATTAGCATCACGCAAACCACTATTGATAGCATCCACCAAAAGGTGCAACAACTCATTGGTATCGTCCATGGTCCAAGATTCATAGTTCTCTTTCTCTTTGCTCTTTCCTTTGTTGTTTCCTTGTTGTGAATCCCCCATTTAAATTACTACTACAACATATGTGAGAAATTTATTAGTTATTTCATAAGAATACGTATCATACCAAATAAGAAAAGAAAAGAAAAGAAAAGTACAACCAAAATAGTTTAATCAAATTCCTTTGAACGTTAAAAAAAGATATACCACTCGACCAAATGCTAATTGCTGCGTTGAAAAGTTCTTTTCCATTTGACACCGCACAAAATTATACAAATTCTAGACTTGAAAAATATGCCTTGCGGGTTAAGGAGTATGCAATACATGTGTAAGCTTTCTTGTAGTGTAACTTGTTCTTTATCAGGAATATAGTACAAATAATTCGAAACTAGGCATAAAAACTAGTGTTGAACAAAAGGAAGTTTCAAAAATTGGTATATTGCACAGACCAATGGACACAAGCCTATACAAAAACATGGCATATTGCACAGACCAATTAATGGACACAAGCGAGATGTACAAACACAAGCCATATCCAAACACAGGCCACATACCATATTGCAAAACCACGAAGACACTGACCATATACAAATACAGGCCACAGACACAGACCATATACAAAAACATGGCATATTGCAAATATACAGATAATATGGTCTGTATACAGATAACAAGCGAGATGTACAAACACAGGTCATATACAAACACAGGCCACAAACCATATTGCAAACCCACGAAGACCATATACAAACACACAGACACATACCATATACAGATAACATGGCATATTGCAAATAAAAAGTTGTTCACGTGAGAAGGAAACAATACCTTGAGCTGTTCATCTTCTCTAGCAGACAAAAAAAATCTCACGTCAAAAGTCTGATGGGTTAGGGTGAGATTTTTTATAAGGTTTGGTATTTATACCCTCCACTAAAATGTCACACAATTTCCACATTTAAAAAAAAATCCATCAAAATTAGCAAGTTTTTGAATACCAAAAAACTTTTTGTTACTTGTTTAAAATCTTGATTGAATACCACTAGATTTGGACACCCTCTTTAAAATATCCTAGTAGTCCTGATTGAATACCAAAAGACTTGTTTAGATTATTTAAAAGTCTTAATTGAATACCATAAGACTTATTTATCCCAAAATAATCTTTTAAAATCATAATTGAATACACCCCAAAGAATGTGTCCTTTATAAATAAATAAATAATTATAATTATAATTTTTTATCAAATAATAAATTTTCTTAAAATTATAAGAGTACAAAAACCGATAATATATAATACTTTGGGCCTCATTAAATTTTTTTTTTAGGAAAACCCAAAGGGAACAAAACCTCATACGAAGGAAAAAAAGTACCCCATTGAAAACATTATATTCAATAACAAATTAACTTGCATGTGTCCCTATGCTTCACTTTCACATGCACCTACAAAATAAAAATAGCAATGAAATCCCAATCACAAAAGATCATTTAAAATGTCTTCTTGTTGCAGTTTTAGAAGCAAAATCATCAATTATATTATTATATTTAATTTTTTCCAACATATCTTTCTATGCATAATATTACTATTTTGAGAAGAAAAAAAAAACAATAAAAATCGAGTACAGCCGCCGGGCTATACTATTTGTACCAACAAAAATTAGAAAAACGGCGTATCTATTCGGCTATACTATTTATACACGTAAAAAAAGGGACCGCTTTTGATTTGGTGCCCGTGTCAAAATAGATATAGCCGCGCCAATATACTATTTTAAATATTTTTTAGAAAAAGAGCGAGTATAGCCGACCGGCTATACTATTTTTAGAAGGAAACAAATAAATAAAAACCCAGTACGGCGGCGCGGCTATACTATTTTTACCAAAAAAATAAAACAGAGTATAGCCGTGCGGCTATACTATGTAAAAACGAGGACCACCTTCGATTATGCGTCCACGTGTCAACATAAGTATAACCACCCGGCTATACTCGTTTTATTAAAAAAAAAATAATAATAAAAAGAGGACTTTTTTACAACTTAAAAGTTAGGTCACTATATAATATTTTAATATATATTATTTTTATTTAGTAATATGTGAGAATTATTTATATAATACGTTAATTTTGTGTGTCTTATTGAAACTTTTGTTAAAAATACATGTATTAAACATGAAAGTGCTAAATTCTTTATACGGGTGTAATTACTCTGGATGTCTTAATTAAATTTCCCTAGATCCCAAGAGCCCTAAGGCCCAAGGCCCTAGTCTTTGATTAATATAATTACTATTAACCAAAGCCGACCACATAGCCAAGCCCATTAGCTGAGCGACTATATTGTATAAATACAAATTTTGAATTACTATTTATTGAGTAATATAATTCATGAAGTTAATTAAAATATTCAATACTAATTATTCACTAAAAAAATAATAATTAAAATAAGCCAAAGATAATACTTAATTACTAAAAATAAAATTTTTAAAAAGTAATGAACCTAAACATACTAAGTTTATAATTTTTTTTTTTTTTATAAAAAACCTGTTTCGACGAAAGTTTATTGGCATATGTCTATCCTAGCGAAATATACCGGATTAGACCTTTCTCGACGAAATTTCGTTGGGAGATATCTAATCCGGCAAATTTTGCCAGCATAGACTTCTGCCAATGCTATTTCGTCAAGAGAGGTTTTCTTCTTACTTTTAAAAAATCAAATAAAAGGAGTACAGCCGTGCGGTTATACTATTTATACACGTAAAAAAAGGGACCACTTTTGATTCGGTGCCCGTGTGTCAGGATAAGTATAGCCGCCCGGCGATACCAATTTTTTTTCTTCAGAAAGGAGCAAGTACAGCCGCCCGGCTATACTATTTTGAAAACAAAAGACAATAAAAACCGAGTACAGCCGACCGGCTATACTATGTTTACAAAAAAACGGAGTATAGCCGTACGGCTATACTATTTATACACGTAAAAAAGAGGACCTCCTTGCGATTATGCGCCCATGTAGAGGAGGTACAGTTGCATCTCCTTACTCCTCTGTAGGTCCACCACTGATCACTTGGATCCACAAGTTTATCTAATTTTTTTTTTTTTTTTCTATTTCCAAACCGGTGGTGCCTATTTGGATACGGGAATCAATTGCATTTTAAAACTATGATTACCGTTTCTCGAGGTGGCAATCGCTGGCTACCTTTTGGTCAATTACTGGCTAT